TATATATATATATATTAATTTATTTATTTATTGAATACCAATTTGAGTTGAATTAGTCACCGCTCTTAATCTCAATAGCATGTGGTGATAGGCCTCACATATCAATATTGTATATTTTTATAATATTTTCTCAATTAGGGATGGGTATATGAGCCCAAGCATATAGATTGATATGCATAACTCACAATTCGTATGATTAATTAATGGACCTATTTTTTAAAAATTTATATAATTATAGGAGAAATTAAGTCTGTTTCGTTTAAAAGAGACATTTTATTTTCTTATAACTTTATGAGAGATTTTAAATAATGAGTGATTTTAGTATTTTATTGATAAATAAGTTGATGGAAATTTGTTGTAGTTACTTGGAATGAAATTGTAGATAAATATTCTTTTGATGAACAAAGGTAGATCTAACACCGTGGGTTTTATTAATAATTGTTATTCAATTAATTTACATGTTATTGTGTTTAGTTGATTAGTTATTGTAGAATTATAAGGATTTAGGAATTCAAATGAGTTATATTATTTGGGCAGTTACTATGAACAGAGGTCAAGTTGACCAATCCAAGAAAGTATATAAGATTTTCTTTATGACTTGAGTTTCATAAGTTCATTTTTAAGAAAATTTATAGAGAAGTTAGAGAAAGGAACTATAGAATTCTAAAATTCTCCTTTCTTCTTACTAGCCTTCCCAATAGCGTAGAAGATAGTAGTAGATTTGCTGAGTAAAGATTCAATCTTGGAAATCTTGGAATCAGAGACCTCGAAAGATTAATGTAGAGTTCTTTAGAGGGTCTCAATTTCCTTCTTCCTTCTCCTCTTTTCTCTTAGATTTATAGGTAAGGAAAGTTACAACTTGAATCTCTGTTGGATTGTCTGAATTATATGTTGTTTGATTTCATGAAACCGTGACTGTGTGGATGATTTGACTTGGTATTCTTGTGTTGTGGTGTTTTGAGGTTCTTGAACATGTTGGGAAGATTTTGGTGAATTGTATTTATTGGTTTCATGTTGTTATATTGGTTGGAATTGAGTTGTTTGTGTTGTGTAGGTGTGTTTTATACCATTGCATTCTTGGGTTTTCTAATTTGTAGGTGAAGATAGCCAAATTTGCAATTCTATCAAGTGCAAAAATCATTATCACGTTGGGCGCAACTTCAAGGCATCAGGCAAATGCAAGCCAAAGGTTCTCTATCTCACTAACGTAGGGTTAAGGATGAGTTAGAGGAGAGCTCTCTTATTTTATCACATTGCCTGTGGGTTGAAGGATGTTGGACATGGACACTTGTTAAGCGATTTGGCAAGCGTAGCAATTGTACAAATAGCTAGTTGTGAGTAATTTATCGTTTCCTTAAAGGACTTGTGTAATACATGACAATAAATATAATTAATAGTTAAATTAGACAAAAGAATATTTCATAAATTAATGTTGGTTTATAAAAGAAATAAAATTATGCAAAAAAAAAATAATGTTCTTTTTGGTATTTTATCAAATAGTTAGAAGACATTTGAGCTTAGAGGTGATATGAATGTTAATATTGGGATTAAGACTTCACCAAACTTAACTCTTATGCATTTAATTACTCAAACAATGGAAGACTTGACCACTCATGTCTAAAGATTACAACACTAGATAAATATTTGAGCAATCCATGATTATAGTGTGGATCTCACATAACCCTTTTTAATCTCTCTAAAATTACTAATAAGAATGTACAACAATATGAATTGATACAAAGACCTCTAGAAATAATTTTTCATGAGCTTGAGTTAGATGTAGTCACTTAAAGCTATAAATGACCAAGTGAATACATTCAGGGATGTGTTTTGGCTTCACTCACTCGGATCAAATTTTTGAAAGCTTTGAACGAATTCTTCTCACTTAGAGCACCTAGGAGGTTCACTCTAAGTGACCAAATGTTTGCTTCCGATGTTATTCTTTATCTTGACTTGAACGAATCCCTAGTAGCTTTGAGCAAATTTTTATAGCCTAGAATATTAGTTTCGGTTGAGACTTTGTAGTTTTTCAAATTATATTCTCCCTGTGATATTTCAACAAAGAAAAAAAATGAAAATAATACCTATTATTTAAACAATTAACATATATATATATATATATCAATAATTTCCTAAATTGAAAAAAATATATATAAATACATATTTGATAATTATAAAAAATGTCATTATAAAAAAATTTATTTAGTTACTTTTAAAATTATTTAGTCAAGATTTGATTTGTATTTTTTTAATTTTTAAAATAAGACAACGTCTTATAAGTGTTTAAATAATAATACATCTAGACACTTTAAAATGGTATAAGTGTTGGTCAACATATTCAAATGCAATAACCTATTGAATTTTAAGCATTTATAACATAAGTTTTATTTACATAAGAGTTTATTAAATAAGGTCTTAATTAAGTTGTTTACCCAAATGGACCCTTTATATATAACTCTTGTGTACAAGTTCTTTAAGGTTAAAACATCTTAAGTTAATTACCACTATAGATTAAATATCAAAGTTCATTTATTATTTTAAGTTTCACTTTTTGGTCATATATAATTTTTGTGTATCATTTATTTTACTTGATCCAAGATTTTAGTTTTGAGAAACAATTAAAATTTGAGAAATACTCTTTATATATCATTATTTTACTCAATATGAAAATTTAATTTTGAGAAATAATTAGAAAAATTAATATTAAGAAAAATAATATTAATTACTCTATCTATAATAATATTTTCTAAAAAGAAAAATGTTATAATAACCTATTAACTTAATTTATAATAACATTTTAATAAATTTAAGTAGACAAATATTGCTAAAAATAATTAAATGTAATAGTGTTTCAAAAGCAAAATGCTCCTTAATTGAAAGTCAATACCAATTCATTGAAGTATGGGCATTCATTTTACAAGTTAATCTCTTAAATGTGTTTATTTGACAGGATGATAATATATTCTTGAAAATATGATTCTTGGAACTGGTATAACCGGGAACATTATTCCTGAGAATTGTTAAATTAAAATAAGTTTGATTAGGTTTAAACATTCCTATGAATATTTTAAAATTTAAAATAATTAAATTTAAAAAAAATAAAGTTAGAATGAAAGTTATAGTTAAATTAGAGAATAACTTCCCATGAAAACTTTTCCACCTTTTCACCATGGGAGTCAAATGATTTAAAACATAAGATAACAACTTTTCTGGAGATAAACAATATGAATAAAAATGGTGTTTTAATATGTGAAACAATATTCACCCCTTAACAAATATTTTTCTATACACACAATACACAAATATATAATAGAAAATGAACATTTTCGCTAAACAAATTAAATTCTTAACCTATCATAATTCTTGAAACCACTACAAAAGTAGTCCAGTTCTTAGACCGAATCTCAATGTGAAATATTTTTCTTAGCCATGGCAAAAGCATCTTTAACTTGGTGACTACAAGAGTTTTTCGCACATAGCATATCAAACACAAGACATTTTACTGAATAAATAGACTGTTTTGACAACGTATAAGTATGAATGTATAATGTTGACTAACCAGTGACAGTGGATGAACCCAGAAGGAGGTTTGGAGTATGAAGCATAAAAGAAGTAGTGATTAATAAAGCAAGCACATGACATGACATGACATGACATGACATGACATGACATGACATGACATGACATGACATGACATGACATGAGATGAGATGACGTGTTTAATCAGGAAATGAGATAGAACTAGGCAGACATGCATCCAATCCCACGTCTGAAAGTGGGAAAGACGAGAAACAAGGCGCTGCAAAGAATCCCCATCATCAAGGGGAAAGTCTCCCTAACCTGTTCCATGTCCTTCTCGTGACCAGGGAAGATGCAATTGGTGACCCTATGGTCGGAGACAGCGATGGCGAGGAACACCATGACGGACATGACGGCGTGGACGAGGTCGGTGAAGGCGAGCCTAAACCTGTCGTCCTTGGGGACGGCGACGTCGGGGAGGCCAGGCTTGAAGACGGAGAAGCCCTTAGGGGTGAGAAAGCCGTAGTAGAGGTTTCCGTCGGGGCCGTGGAAACTGTCGGTGAAGTGGAAGAAGAAGCAGGAGAGGGCGCAGAGGAGGAGGAGGAAGTGGATCATGATGACGTGGACGTGGCTGCACTCCCCGTTCTTGTAGATGGAAGGGAGTACCATCTCGAAGGTCAGGAGTGTCCCCGTCGGGAGGAAGTTTCCCAGGAGTGAGGTCTTTGAGAGGCTCTTTTGGACGCCCTTTGCCATTATGCCGCGCCGCTTGTTAAGGTTAGGGTTAGGGTTAGGGTTAGGGTTAGGGTTCTGCCCTCCCACTCCATCTTCTGCTGTCGGAGTTGCGCTGTACACTTTGATGCCCATTTCTTGTTCGCTTTCATCCATTGGAGGCTTTTCAGAGGGAATCCTTGATTTGGAGTTTCGGCACTTTGAGGGTTTTATATATTGCGCCTTCGAATTCGTTTTCGGCGGTTATTGACGGTTAATAATTCGTGTTTGAAAAACAATTTATTCCGAGTCAGGAAGAGAGGAAAACTATATATAATTCTTGATTTTTGACTTATACAAATTATGATTAAATATAATTTTAATTTTCTTTTATATTAGTTGCCGTTGTTTTCACGAAAGCAGCACTGCTTTAATTTTGAAGTTAAAACATTTTTAATTATAAGATTAAAAGATAATATGTTCATGAAATTATTTATAAGATTAAGAAACAAATGAGTAATTAAGCTTTTATTTATTTTTTAAGTTCAATCATTAATTTAGTTCCTATAACTTTATAAATTTTACTTCTTAATTGTATATTTAAAAATATTTCATTTTAATCCTTTTATTTACTATTTTTATTTCTTTTTAGTTTTGTAATCTTTATCTTTTAGTTTTTATAGAAATAGAAATGGTACTCCTTTGTTCTTTAATTTAAGCAAAAATAAAAAAAATATTTTTTATTTTTAAATATAAGTAAATTTCAATTATTTTCCTTTTTTTTTAAGAAACACACTTTTGTTTCATTTAATTATATTCTTAATAAAATATCTTTCATCTAATGTATCACTTTTAAATTGCATTACCTTTTTTATTTACATTTATAATAGGAGCAATTTAAGAAAAAATTTATAAAACTAGTAAAATTTAACAAAAATAATTAATCTTCTTTTACTTGTAATAAAAAAACAAAGGGGGTATATATAAAGAATAACATAAAATATTTTTATTATAAAAATAAAAGGATAAAGTTTATAAAACTATAGAAAAAAAATTAATCAACTCATATAAATTAAACAAGAATATTTATTTTGTTTAAGTGTTATTTTAGAATTTTTTCTCAATAAAAAGGTTTGTAATTTTTTTTTCTAATTTCTTATCTAACTTGATTTTTATTTATCATAATTATTTATATATTAGATATTAATAATTTAAAAAATCATTAATAAATAAAAATATTTTTTATATAAATTTTAATTCATACTAACTAATATATAAAGGGGATACCCTTTTCAGTAACTACCTTAGTCTCTATTTTTTTTACTATTATACCCTTTTATTTTAAAAATATTTTAAAAATATTTTTTAATCAAATTTAAGAACTTGAAATTAATGAATTTATACTAATATATAAAGAATACCAATTTTAATAATTACTTTTAATTTTCATTTTTACATGAATCATTTTATTTTTGATTTATTTTTTAATAATTATATTTTTTATGAATATTTTTTTTTTTTAATATAATACGTATGGAGTGCCATTTTCCTGCTAGTTATATATAATAAATGTCTCAACATTTCACAAGTTAAAAGTTAAAATACCGGTTAAAGCTCAACTAAAGAATGGCAGTGGGGGCAAAAGAGGGTAAAAGTACAAAGAGGAGGGCTCACTCGAGTCATGATGACCTCTAGAAACCTTTGCGACAAATAGAGGGGCAATGCATGAGTACATGGCGTATGCTATCTATGTTTGTACCAGAACCTTATGCGCTGAGCGTTCTGATTTTTGTTTATTTTCTTTTCCTTCAAAAATGTAAAAAAAATAAAAAAATAAAAAATAAAAAGGAGACATTTTGGGCTTGTCATAGCCCAGTGCGATACTGATAACCCAATGAAAACAAAAATGAATTTCAATATTAAATAAAATAAAACACAAATAGTTAAATAAACTAAAAATGTCTTATTTCATTTGCTACACAAGACATTATCAGATTTTATGAAGTTGCAACCTGACTTATTTTTTTCTTTATGTTCTTGCTTAGAAACACTCCTCTTGTCGTTCCTTCTCCTCGGTCTTTTAGGTCTTCGGTGTCGATCGAATACTATCTTCAAAAGGTGGGGAGGGTACCTGCAAAGGCACTCCGACGATCAAGTAAGTGTTCGGTATAGAGCAATAAAGGCTTTTATATTGAATAAATCGTACCTATTTTTTGTCCCATCACATGTGTATTTATAGTGACATATTTGGGCCTGGTAGGCCTTTTTTCTTGGGGGTGGGTAATCTTTTGATTAACCTTAATCTTTCTCAATTAAGTGCGATAAGCATTGTGTAATAGCTAACCTAACTTACCTATGTCCCACGTGGTTTTACATGTATTCGGCCAAGCTCTTGGCTGAACAGGTGTTCGGTCTTCCTCCAAGCCGAAGAGGGGCTCGGTCAAGCTCGAGGCCAAAGGGGTCTTCGGTCAAGCTCGAAGCCGAAATGGTCTTCGGTCAAGTTTGAAACCGAAGGGGTCTTCGGTCAAGTTTGAAGCCGAAGGCGTCTTTGGTCAAGGTCTAAGCCAAAAAAGAGGATTTGAACATTTTCCCTTGATGCTCTCTTGCCCAGTTTTGGACTGGTCCCTTATCCTTCGTTGTAGGATGGGTGTTCGGCTCTTTGTACGGCCGAGGAGAGGGGTAGTCACCCTTCGACTGTTATCCTGGCCGAAGGGCTGTTTGATTTGGATGAAGACTTGCCAGTTGAGGTGCTCCTCTCGGCGTAAGATTTGGCCCAGGGGGGTGTTTACTTGTACACTTTACATTTTCAATAGCAAATTCTGATTGCACTCTGGATCTCCAGGTTTTGCAAGATGAAATATATATAAAATTCAAATTTCACCGAGATAGAAAATCTTTCTGACAAGGTAACAAAAAACGTATAAATATAAATAAGTTTTTCATAAGTACATTTTGAATTTAGGCACAGCAATCATTCGTTCTCCTAAAGTTTTCGGTATATATAAAAGCATAACACGTAAATTTTAGCCATATAGATTAAATTGAGTATGGTCATCCAAAGTCAACAAGCATGCATGCTAACTTATTATCTCTCCTTAAGATTGCATCATTGGTAAAGTTGTAAACCATGCAAACTACAATGCACGGATTCAAAAAGCAGTTTATCCTCTTACGTTGTTTTAGTCAAACAAAAGTGTTGGGCCACAAAAGAGTTTAAGGAAATCAAACAGACGAATTCCCTTTCACAGTTAACTCACTGTTAACTCACTGCCCCACCCATGCAACCAGTAATTGTCTATCAATCTAAAAGAAAACGTATATCGTTCATACCCATGCCCTTCAATCCCGTCCCAGAAGATTTCCTAGATAGTTGTTTCTTCTTCTCCTGCAACATCAACATTTTCTCTTCAATGCTGTTTTGAGCTATCAATCTGACAACCTTCACAGCCTCTTTCTGTCCAATGCGGTGGACACGATCCATTGCCTGTTCCTCAACAGCATGGTTCCACCATGGCTCCATAAAGTAAAGCCTAGAGGCAGATGTGAGATTAATGCCTGCACTTGAAGCTCTGAGGCTTGCAAGCAGAACCGTGGGGCCATCTCTTCCCTGCACTTGAAACTGCTCAATCACTTTAGCCCTGTGTTTAGCATTCATTGTCCCATCAAGACGCAAAGTCTTGAAACCAGCTGCGTTCAGAGGCTCTTCCAGTAACAACAGCAATTTTCGAAACTGCGAATACACAACTGACTTGGCTGCTGGATGTTGGTCCCTTGATTGTGTAAGGAGTTTTATTAGTGTAGACACCTTGGAAGATAATCCTGTTTTTGATGATGAGTATAAATCATTACCATCTGCCTTGGAAGACTCCGGAGGGGCTGAGAACAAGTCAGATTCAGAGAGAGGATGCCGGCATAGAGGACAACAGGGATTGTTGTTTTGCAGAGTTCTCAGAATACAGCCTCGGCAAAAAATGTGAGCACAACATGTGATCACAATATCCATGGGAGGGGATAAACAAATTGGACAGTCAAAGTCTTCACCATCTTGCAGCTGCCCAAGTAATGTTTGCAGCAATTCAGGGTTATTGGAAACATCTGTTCAGAAACAAAACATGTACTGTTACTCTGTTAGTAAAATGAAACCTTGTCATATTCATATTCATAACTCTTGTCAATACTAATAATTCAAATGTAAGTTTCACCGAGTCGAACACAAATCCATTTCCAGTGACATATAGTCAAATACATGGTTAAATATCAATTTGCAGCATAACAGGCTTAGACAGGGATCATTTTGCAATGGTCCAAGAAAATTCGGCCAAACATAACAAATTCGTAATATAAAATATTAAAAATTAAAAATACCCACATCCAAGAAAGATCAATGGAATGATTATAAAGAAATGTTTCTAATTGCATAGGAGTCCTTTCTTTTTAGGAGGCAATCCTTCCTTTCCCATTTGAATTAAGCTGCTAAGAAATCATTCAACATCTAGAGTTTCTCAATTCTCAGTAACAGAGATTAAATAAAGGAACAGAAATTTCCAGGTTGGTCGTCTGCCAATCATCAAATAAATTACTACCTTCCTATCAGTAACATCCCCCTTCCCCTGGGACAAGTTTCAGAGCATAATACTAAATTCCTAACAATATACATTTGGACATATGAACACATACTATTTGTGAAAATCTACATGTAAAAAGATGAATATAATATGATCTTCCACATCCTTCACCCCTAACCAAGAACGTGCATCTTCATTGTATGAACACATTAAAAAGACTTCAGGTCAAGAGCTACATAATTGAACACCCCAATAAGACAATAACAAATCTTTATAAGAAAAAAGGTACAAAAACTATTCCATCACATGGATCTTCCTCAGTTTTCTCTTGGTTCATTCATATAATGGCATGCAAACAATGCTTCAGAACTTCATAGTTGAATATATTCCATTTAGTATCTTAGATTAACAATTCGTACGTTCATCTAGAGATATGTTGTCAAGGCCACAAGACACTCTCGATATGGTACTCCTCTCTTATACATTTCACATTTTGACAACACAATAGAGATCCAACCTCGAAGGATAGTGATACATGCATGAAATCATCAATATGGCAGCTTTTTGTTATCTGTCATTGCCGGTAAAAGTTTCTTTGAAATTGAATGAGAAAATATCTTATATCTTATACATATAATGTTTTTAAACTAAATTCAGCCTGAAACAATTATGGTACTCGAAAGAAAGCATGGAAACCTAGTTGGACCATGGTGACTGGTGAGGAAACTATCAAGTAAATATCCAAGTGATTAGTGATTTTGATACGAAAAGGCAAAATTATACCTTCAATGTTTGTAATGAGTAGCGACTGATCTTTACACAATTTCAAATCAGTACAGATTTGGCGAAGTCTTAGAATCCTACTTAGCACAGCAGAATATTGAGGCACTAGACTGTCCTCATGGCCAAAACTACTCAACAATGTCTTTGTTTGCTCTTTCATCTGATCATACAGTTCACGTTCTTCCAAAGAAAGCTCAACATAACAAACCTCTGTCGTTTTTGGTGGCAGCCCCGCCAATGTCACGTCTTTTGTTCTTCGCAGAGCTATTGCATCCATCAAAACCTACAAAACAAGCGAGGAAAAACCATAACGTTACACAAAATTACAAGACAGAAAAACACACTAAGAAAATTAGTAAGCAACACAAAAGGGAAACACCAAAATTCAAATTCAATTGCAATTCAGCATAATAACAACCATGTACAGTAGAAACTAGAAACTAAACAAAGCCCTGAACAAGCCTATACTAATGTTAACTAAGTCTGGTTGGATACAAACTTAAAAAAACTTTAGAGAACTTCACTATTTAGAAAAACTCTTTATTTTCAATAGAAGTTTTCAAAAACTTTAGTATATACATGATATTACCTGCAAACGTAAGAGCCCTTTGTCTGTGCCCTGATCAAGAGAGCGCTGCACCAAGTCTCTCCAATAGCTTCTGACCGAAAACGGTTCAAATCGCAAAAAGACCATGATAGAAAACAAATCAATACAACCACTTTGAATCGGTGTCCCTGTGACGGCCCACCTGCACTCACCATTCAACTTGCAAACAGCTGCACTCTGTTGAGCATTGAAATTTTTGATGGCATGAGCCTCATCTAGTATAATCCTCCGCCACAACATTTTCTTCGCCGGCATCTCCAACACGAGCTGTTCACTGGACAAAGTAGAGTAAGTAGTCAACACCAAATCATACTTCTTAAGCTCCTCAACATTCTTGGTCCTCCTTTCTCCATAATACATATAAGTCTTCAATCCACCCAGCACAGTATGTTCCTCCAATTCCGCTATCCACGTGGACATAACAGAAGGAGGACACACAACCAAAGTTGCGTTTGTTCTCACACCAAGGGTCCTTTCACTTTCAACTTTGCTTCGTTTTTTGGTCACAGAGATACCCATTTGGCTCTTTTTATCAAAAGCCATCAAAGAAAGCAAAGTTAGGGTCTTTCCCAAGCCCATATCATCTGCGAAAATGCCACCTCGCAAAGGGTGGGGCCTTTCACGTGTTTGATAATCGGTTAAGATGTTTACAAAGTTGCCATTTTTTTCTTCCCAAAAAGGGGGCAAATCGTGAGACTTTTCGCGGTGAAGAAGCCACGCGAGACCCTCCTTCTGGTGCTGAAGAAGCTCCGATTTGATGATGCTTCTGGTAGGCTCCAAGGGTTCGATGACGCGGTTATAAGTGGAATCGGCGAGGCTGCGATCGACGAGGTTGAAAACGGTGTCAACGGACATGGACTCATTCTGAGCTTTGGTCTCTTTGACGGCGACGGCGTCGGAGAGGGTGAAGGCGGGGTTGGACTCGGTGATGAGTTTGAGGCCGGAGTTGGTAACGGAGTGTTTGACGGCGTTGAAGTTTTGGAGGCGAGCAAAGACGTGGATTTGGCAGGGGACGCGGTGGGATTTTTTGCGGGCGTTGGGGACAATGGCTTCGACGGTGACGAGGTGGGCGTCGATGAGGGGGGAGAGGGCGGCGGCGGCGGCGCGCTCGATGTAGCCGACGGGGAGGGAGTGTGTGTTGAGGACTTGGATGGCGTTTGGGTCGTGCGGGTTGTGGGGCTCGCGGACTAGGCCCACCAGTGCTCGGCCGTGGATGCTGCCGGAGTGGTGCTGCAGGCCCACGATGTTGGCCATTATGAAGCCCAACAGGTACTTGTCTGACTCCTCGTCTGAATCCATGGGAGGGTTTGGATTTGAACGTTCAGCTTTTGCTTTTATATGTTTTTATATTTTGAATTCAAATTGAAACCACGTCGTCAAGGCGGGTATTCAAAGATTATCATCGGTTTGAATCGCTTAAGTGCGTGTTTGGATTTGCGTTTGTAAAATTGATTTGAGAGAGTTGCTAGTTGAAAGTTGATTCGAGTAGTATGTTGTGAAGTTGTGTAGCTATGTTAGGATTCTATATGGATAATGTTGATGTGTTGTTGAGATGCATATTGATCATAATGTTGTAAATGAGGTGTGATGATGGTGATATGAGTTGAAAAGTTGTGTTAATTGAGTTATTATGTTTAAAATTATAATGAGTTGTTGTGTTTACCACTTAAAACTAGAGGAGATATTTTCGAAAGTCGTCCATCCCATTGTATGGATAGTGTGTTGTAATACTCTAAGAGTCTAATTTGTTGAAAATCCTTCTTGGGAATTTGACCCTTGAAATAGATGTTGTGTTGTTTCTCCTTTAGGACTTTGTCGGTACCGTGTGTGGGCAAAGTCGAGGTACATATGTATGAAGCGACCATAGTATAAGGGTCAGGTCGAGCTATATTGATTACAAGTAACCAACCGAGTAAAATACGAAGTCGGGAACTTAGTTCCTAACCGAATATTGGAAGGTTGTAGTATTTAGAGGATAGTTGCTGGGCTAATCCCATAAAAGGCTTAGTTAAGCTAGTTAATATTGTGGTAGGCCCATACCCAGCGGTTCTATCCTAACATTAGTATTATACTTCCTTGTTTAAGTGACGCCATCCGAGAAACTGAGTTGCTATGTTGTGGATTTTTATCCAATTTGTTGTTGATCTAACAAGCTCAAAAAGATCACCCTGTGTTGCCGATTTGATAGGATCAAGGCATTTAAATTACTCACCCTTTGTTGTAGAAGATCTCCTAGTTGAAATGCGTGACAATGCATATAATTGTTGTGTTGAGCATATGATGTGTTGTGTTGAGCATATCATGTGTTGTGTTGAGTGTGTTGTTCATATGTTGTGTTGAATTATGATGAAATGTGTTATTGTGTTGAATTAGAGTTGGATTATGTGGATTTGTGTTGTATATTATCATGTTATTCGTTGTTGTGTTGACAAAGATGAGATGATAATGTGATGTTCTCATGTGTGTGTGTGTATATATATATATATATATGTGTGTTGTTTCTTTTTCCTAACTTACTCTTGCGGTTTGCACCGCAATGATCATATGTGATATGAGAGCAAAACAAGGATAGAGATGGAGTGTCATAGTGGAGGCCACATAGTGGTGTTGGAGTTGGATGTTCTGTTAACCATCTATTGGTGGTGGATTTTGTATAGATAGTGATAGTTGTTTGACTGACAACGAGGCACATCTCAACTCTCACACTCAGCCTTAGCCTTTTAGAGTCACATCTCAGCTCTCATGCTCAACATGAAGCTCACACTCAACCTAAAACTCACGCTTAGCCTCAGATTTCCAATAGCACTTCCAAATTTTCAAGCTAAGCGTCCCAAACCCTGAAACTCATACATGCAGATGAATAACCCAATCTCTAAATCCTCTCAACCTATGCGATAATCAAAGCATGCAACCCCAAAATCTTCCAACTCTAACAACATACAACTCAAAAATCTCAAGAAAAACAACATGCATCAACCACAACTCAAAGAAATCATCACATTTTAACCTCACATCAAGAACAACAAAATCCCCAATTTTCAACATGAAACTCCTTTGAATTTTATGAAACATAGAAAAGAAACAATTGCATTTGAAAAAACTAAAACAAAGTCTAGAAACAGAAATATTACCTCTCGTCCCGTGACTTCTTCCTGAAGAAGAACCAGCCACACTTGTACTTCTTAACTGGAAGCAATGAGATCTGTTCTTGGGAGAGACCGCGGCTCTGAGTTCCAACTGACTCACCTAATTCAAGTAGTTCCTACAAAAAAAATGATATCAATGTGGGGAAAAGATAAAGGAATAAAACCAAGTCAAAGAAGTCTATACTTCCAACTTTTATTTATTGCTATTCATCGAGATGGTTCGCATAACAGGGAATTTAGATCGCATCTCTGCAAGAAATAATCCCAAAGAACAAAGATTAAAGTTTGATTCTTTTGTTTATCAATTTTCATAAAGGTGTTATCTCTCAGCCATAGCTTTTCAGTTTCTTAGTTTTTCTGTTAACTTTTCCGTTATTTCGTTATGCCTTTCTGTTATTTTTGTTCAGCCATCATGTATGTATACCATTCATGAGCAGTAATAAAAGTGAACTGTTGTTGATCATTCTTCACGTTTTCTACGTATTCCGATTGCTGCACTTTGTTATTATCCAATCCAATTTCAGAATTTCTAGCTAGCATTAGTATAGTTATTGTTGCTTCTCTAAAACTCTTTTGCTGTTCTGATTGCACTGTGTCTTCCTCTGCTGCATATCATGAAAATAATGAAATAGAAGAACAACACACATAAAAAATGAAATTGTAGTTGATGATGAGGTATAGTAACTCCTATTTGGCTAATAAAATTGGTCAAGGTGGTTTTGGGGAAGTCTATTATGCAGAGCTGAAAGGCGAGGTTTGTGATCTCTTTTGTTAGTTCTGACTTTTTATTACTTGTTTTTGAAAGAAAGGTTGCATATTCTTTTGGCTATCATTGGTTTTTCAATTAATGCAGCATTTATCCTCTGGAGACAATACTTTTAGAGTATGTGAAATGCTTAAATTGAGACAATACTTTCACTACTGTGGAGAATTGTACCAAATATTGAACAACTCTTCATATTTAAACTTTTTTGTTTTCTGATTTCAACAGCTTAGGCCATTTTACTTATATTATGATAATTCAACTTTGATGGTCGGCCCTTTAGTTTTCTGTTACAGTGGCAAGTGTAGACACTTTTGATTTATACTATGTAGGGGATAGTAATGTGTACTTGTACACATAATTTATATAACACGATCCAACTCCCAAAAACATATATCAAATAGCAGCTTATTTAGACTCGTCTAAGTTTATTAGCAAAAAGGAAACAGATTAGGAAACTTGCAACAGAAAACTGGACTGTAGGAGATGTGAAAAACATACAGCACACTAGCATACATAATAGGGAAAAAAACATTGATACAGTAGAAAGACATAGCAAAAACTTAATAGACACACCTAAATCTATAAGAACAACTCCCTAAACTTAATACAACATAAATTTAAAGTAATAAATAAGGATTTAAGTTGAACACTTAACAGACACATCTAGTTATTTCCCCTTAAATAGTAAAGGATTTTTAACTGCATCCCTAAGCCAATGCATCCTTTTCTTATCTAACCCACGTAAAGCAACAAACATTTCTCTTGCCGGTTTGAACAACATCAAGTTGCAACATTGTGTATGAAAGACATCATCATTTTCTAATTCAGGTAACGTCTTAAGCTCATTCACCACTTCCTAAATTGATGCAGTTGCTACAACTTCATTACGTGACCTACATGCATCCGCTAGCACACTAACTGCATCGGCTATTCTTACAGAAGTAGTTGTCTTCTTCTTACTAAACTTTTCAATGTGATTGCTTCTTTTTCTTTTTTCTCCACTCTTTTGGCTACCAATCCCTTGGCTAATTGTTCCTTGTGAATCATTTAAATTAATCCCCCCTAAAGCATTTGTAGCACCAACACTTGCATCTTCACTATCACCCGAGCCTTCCTCTACATCTAAACAAATTCCCTCTAGACTTGGACGATACACATCATTCATATCAACCCCAAGATTAGGAGGCAACACTCCAGATGAGGGACTCCATTCGTACTCTCCATTAGCAACTACATCCTTAAAAAGTACAGTTAAATTGTGAGCAAATGGAAGTCCCTTGTTTCTAAACTTTCCGTATAGAGGATTTTCCTGCACATTCACAATTTATAATAGGATAAATACATTAAAGTAAAAGCTTACAATTCTTATATATATGAAATCAATTACAATAACACATACCAATTGCTTTCTCTCCCACCACTCATCATTTGCATCAACAGTATTCTTCACATTGTCCCATCCAAGCCCAGTTTCTTTACCAAATAATTTATACCATATCCTCCACTCCCTTCTTAAATTATCAAACCTATTTTTAAACTTTGTTTTTTCATAAACCTTTCCTGTTAACTCCTTAAATTTGGTTGCAATTCCAATCCATCCTTTCTTAGTAAAACTAGTACCCAACCGTTCGCCGTTAGTCACTTGTTCCAAGCATGCTATGATAAAACATTCAGTTGCTTTAAGATCCCAGCAAACTTTTTCTTTCTCAGAACCCATACTTCTACATTAAAAGGTTTAACAAAATATAACTTAGCAAATAGTAGCTAAAATTAATACTTAAATGCAACTTAAAATTTATACCAGCCACACCAACAGATTCATAGAGGTTGTTGGTTAGCATTGAAGTACAAAATAAATGCCCAATAAATTTTCTGGTTCACAAGTGCAACATGTACACACGCAAGGAGGAAAAATTTCTAAATCGGTGAAAATAAAATTGATGAGAAGAATCAAAACATTACACAAGGAGGAAAGAACCCTAATGATGAAAATAAAATTGATGAGAAGAATCAGAACATTTATGAATTAGGTGAGGAGAAAGGGAACATTGAAGTTTCATGAGGACAAATGAGGAAAATCAAAAATCCACTTACCAAAATCAATTTCCTGAAAACGTAGAAGTAAGAATATACTGGATTCAGCCAAAATTGATTTTCGTTGATGGAATCGTGTGAAGAAGAAACATCCAAACATGCTTTCACAGAGATGAATTGCGTTTGCGGAAGGAAATACGCGCGTTGCCTTAGGGCAACGCGAATCCAAACACGCACTAAGTTCTGTTTGGTACGGTTTTAAAAAATAAATAGAAAATAGATTATATTGAGATACGAATAGTCTTTTAGCCCCTGTTTATTTCGCTGATTTACTGTTCACGACGAACGAAAGATGAAGAA